CTGTACGTGAACGGTGATCCATAATGTCTTGAATGAACGCTCACACAAAATTAAATTTAGATTAAACGTTTAGAAATCTTGTTAATTAATTGTAGCATGTTATAAGTACTATCTAAATCATTAAACAAATTATAAATGAAAACAATCCACAATTGTATAAATACCTCTATAAATGCCACGTGACCTTCCATTGCTGCTAACTGACAAGCGCTGTAACCAAAATCGTCTTTCTGGTGTAAGAGTTGGGGTCGACTGCTTAGGATAAGCTCTCCTATCTCAGTGTGTCCCCGTTTCGCAGCTTCGTGAAGAGAGGTTTTATTCCAATGACCACTCCCCGTGTACGCTGGGTCAGCACCTTTTTCTAACAACAAAGCGACCGTCTTCAAAGAACCTGTAAAATAGTGAAATTTAAATACACGAATTGTCGGTTGACTGTTATTTTGATTCGGTGTTTAGTATTTCAGTAGCATACACTGAGTCAATTTTAATTTACATAATTATTTCAGATTTACCTGACATGACAGCGCGGTGCAATGGCGCCATTCCGTTAGGGTCTTGTCGATTCAAAACCAGTCCAGGATCATTCAGTCTTTCCAATATATGCATTATTGCGTCAAACTTGAAAACAAAATATGCATTAAACTGCGTAACAAATTGTCAATTGGAAACAACATAATATGATGAGTGAGATGCTGTCTAAACTATTATATGTTTAGTTCCGACATTATGTATATAGTTTTATGCATCTATCTACTGATTTGAGCTAGTTTAGACTTGTTGTCTATTATGTTCAAGGACCTACTTAGTTCTGAATACCGAGTGGCATGTGATGTTGTATTCCGCTTTCTCTGATAATATGAGTGGAGTTTTAGATATAAACCGTCCATGTAAATTAGAAAAGGTTAGAAAATTAAGGTTGGAATTAGAAGGCAAGTCACATCATACCTGGCCATTCAAGCATGCGACGTCAATTGCAGTTTTATAATCGTTGTTTCTAATGCTGAGATCGGGCTGGAAATCCATCAAAATGTCAACGATTCTGACATATTCGTCTTTCGCAGCATAATGTAACACAGTGTTTCCCTGGTAGTCTTGTCTATTCATCTCCTTGCCACGCGTATTCATCAATATTCTTTGAAGATTTTCTTTATTAACAAAAATGAAAACAAATAAACGAGAAAATAATAACATGATGTCTGAAAGACTGACGTAAAATACCGACTACTTACGTGTTATATTTGTGTGTACTCCTGCCTTTTCGACATGTCTAAACATGCTCAGATAACCAGGTTCGCCTAGTGTGTCCTCTTTTCGATTTGACAACTCTTCTCGCAACGTTTCTATCTGTTCTTTGATTTGTCTGAAAAGTAATCGAGGCTGTCAATGTCTAGCGAATAACAGCCACATGGAGGAATACATAGTATGTGTCGATACAGCACATCGAGTGTTTTTCTATAATCTCGAGTAATGGCAGGCAGTTTGTAAAACTAGGTTTTATCAGTTTGTAACACGTGTGTTTAGAAGATGAGCTTCGGTGTTTCTATGTAATGCATTTTGCACTCATTACTAGTGGGACGTTCCCTGGCTACCTAGCTTAGTGATACAAGACCCATAGTAACGGCGACGGAGAATGACAACCTTTATGATAGGTCATGATGCTCAGGCCGATAATCAGAGTACGTTAACAATAGTAAACACACTCTAACCCGTGCAATATTATACTTAAAGCGGGGGAGTCGTCACCTACGCATGTGCCAAGTAGCCATGGCGTGTCATTGTTTACAAACAAGCGTTTTCACCATGAGCCTTAGCTTTCTTCGCTTGTATTGTTATCATCGCTTGGGACTCAATTCTCGCGCGTGCGCAGTTGACGACCCCCCCCCCCCCGCTTTAAGATCTCGTAGTTCATTTAAACTACAAATAGGCGACAATATTTTATATATAGAAGCAATGAATTACGATTCTAGAATTTTAATTAGTCTAGTCTAGTGATTTGTCTAGTTTTTAAAATTAGATACCATCATCACAAATACGTTCAATATTTGTGATATTTAAAAGGTTGCTCAGCCCGCTTTAAATGGACTACTAGTATTCAATCATTTTCGAAATAAATTGCAACCCCAAATTTAAGGCTGCTCGTTCTAGCATCAAATTAAAAAGTTTGATATGCAAGCATGTCAACCATTGCAATAAGTTGACGATAAATCGTAAATCATGACGATTTATTTCTCTAATTTTATTTTTTTGTGGTTTTTGGTTAAAAAAAGACTATTTACCTTTCATATTGAAAATGGCTAGCCAGATTGATTTGATATTGTATATATGAATATGTATGTTATCTAGAAAATGATTAGACTGATTGATTTGATATTCCTTTCTCATTGTGCACCAG